TCTGCAGCTGAGAGCGAACGACACGGGTCGAGTGGGCGCAGCGCCGGGCGATCAGTTACCATCGAAATTGATAGTGGAGGCCCGTCCACATCTCCCAGATGGAGAACACTTTTGTAATGCTGGGCTGTTATAATATCGACCTAACGCTACCAGACAAAGGAAAGGAAAAGACACTCTTCACAGCCGCCGTCCGTTAAGAATTTAACAGTTTTAATAACATTCGAAACAATTGAGTTGCGGTTGAAGAAGACGCGTAATGAGACTTATTCCAAGAAATGGTATATTTTGTGAGATATTTCTTTTAAGAATACTGCGTCGGAGCAGTACCCTAACAAACGGGCCACGGACCGCGCGCTACCTTTCCTTCCCATATCCTGTTCTATTCTGACCCCTTACACACACACTTACATGCACTGCACTGCCACACAGGGGAGATTATTCGGGTACTTAGAGCAGGTCCCGGCTGGGAGATACCTGTTTGGGGAAAACCCCGCTTGCCGACGGTATGTCGCCGCGGGATCTCGCCATCCAGCGGGGGAAGTTCAGCGCCATTTCACGAAGAAAAAATCATTTACTACCCTTAGGGGACGAATGGCCTTACCAGTTTGCGCGCCCAGAATCGCTAATCAACCAATCGTCGTCTAAGGAGCTCCTTGTGAGAGAGACCGAGACGGGTGCGCGTACCTCCTCGGGCGTGAGGTGCGTCTGCAGCGCGTACAGCTCCAGGTCTGCGTCGACGGATGAGCGAGCGGAGGCGGAGGCGGGCGTGGCGGCGGGCGCGGCCGAGGGCGCGGGCTGGAGCGGGGGCGGGGGCGACCAGCAGGAGGTGGAGGGCGGCGGCGCCGAACTCGTCCCTTCCGACCCCTGCAACCCCCTCCCTCAACATGGTTCCCCAACACCTGGGCCGGACTGGGGATGACTCAACCAGCTAGGATTATACTACATAGCGTGGCCGAAGCCATGTTTTTTTTGCAGTTAAAGCAGCACCCTTTGGGAAACAACGTATTCTTGCATTACGTTTGGCGCTGGTTACTGACGGTTACACCGCTACTCGTATGTTTTGACTTTAAACATCATGGCGGCCACTAGTTCGGCGAGCCTCCACCAAGAACGCTGAAACTATAGGGACAGCCACTCTATGTAGTGTATCCTAGCTCGTTTGGATGACCCTTTGCATTGAAATTGAGCCACGAAGAAATCGTTTATAAAACCACATAAAACTTTGTGCCCAAGATTGGTTTTCAATATGGTTATTAAAGTGATTTCAATTGCAGATAACACAAAATTTTGAAAGCCAATGTGTATGCATTGTAAGATATACTCATCCTGAAATACTATTGATATTTTTTCAGTTTATGGCTTTTCCTCCTTTCAAACAATGATTTCGTAATGTGTTTGAGCATGCACATGCATTCTGATTAAGAGTTTCTTATTATTTTTATTTTTATTATTAATGTTATTATTTTTATTTTTATTGTTATTATTATTATTATTACTATTATTATTATTATTATTATTATTATTATTATTATTATTATTATTACGGAATACACTTGAATGATTTACCATTATTTTTCACAGTATTCCGTTTCTCGCAAAGCTTGAACTCTTGACTTGATATGTTTTCGCGTGTAAGGTGACAAGATGCCATCTCTTTCTAGTTTTGTTAGGGGTAATTCAAAAATACACTTCAAAATACTTTCAATTACAGTATTAATAGAGAACTTCCAAAACCCACCCCCTTCTCTTAGTAGTTCTTACTACCATTCCTCTGAAGTAAACGCCTTATTACCAATCGTCCCCTACTCCTCACTTGCTGAGTTTCACAGCTGAGACTTGAGTAATTTCACTAGTTACGGGTAAAATTTCGTAGAATATTTAAATATAATCACTAATTATATTTCTCATAATTTTAAATTCATTTTTAATTCAAAGCTAATAAATACGTTCACCTAAATTCTGCGAGAATTTTCGTTTCTCCCTCGTTTTCACTCCTGTCACACTTCTGAGAAACACTTTACCCTCATTGCGTGAATATTTTCTTTGAATGACTTCTTACTTATTGCGTATTGTATTAAACGTATGAAAGTGGCCAGGTGGAATAGCGGCCTGATTTCGCAACCAATAAAGATGTTGATTTGTTAGTTTTTAGTAAAAACTTAACTTTTAAATATCAAAGTATGTTCGCCATATTCGGCTGCAAGTTTTTTAAGGGTTTCCCCCTATCTAGTATATTTAATGCTTCTACTTTCACTGCTAATAGAACTAATTTCTTTTTCCTTTTTGTAGAATCCATCATGGAAAAACAACGATTCTATAAACTAAATTAAAAAATCTTTCAAATGTGACTTAAATAGCTTGTGCTAGTACCGAACTAACCGTACTGCAATCTGCCCAACTAAACTGTTGTTGTTTAATTATTGTTTGACCGATTAGACGTAACAACAATGCTACCGCACAGGTCCAACAACAATGCTTCAAACCGTCCAAACAACAATAAAACACAGATGTAGTAAATTTTTCATGTCTTGGACATTTTTCGGAATAAACTTATTTATTTTTGCTTATTTATTTTAATAATTTTTTTGATAAGTCGGATTTTACTCGGATTTACGGGAAACTCGAACAATCGATACTCGAATTATGGAGACTCTACTGCATTTGTTATATTCTGAGGTATTATGTGTATAGAGGGCGCGCTTGCCTGCGCGAGGGGGTCGCAGGTGGAGACGCAGCCGCCGCGCGCGCTGCGTTCGCAGCGGGGGCACTCGGCCCCCTCCTCCGCCTTGCCCCGCTCCCGCTCCGGCATCTGCACGCACGAACGGTCGCCCTTCGCCACAACGCGTCATTGGCAACGACGAACAGGAGCCTGGCTTAACCCCTACTACTCACGCGGAGAATACAATTAATCGTGTCACCTCACAATCAATCACATGTCAATCAACTCACGGCACCCCTTCGCTCCAAAGAGTGAGTAAATATCAATCCACCCAGCGCTTTGAGAGACGCTCCCCTTCAGCAGTGTCTACTATTCACGCGGAGAATACAATTAATCATGCCACCTCACAATCAATCACATGTCAATCAACGCACGTCACCCCCACGCTCCAAAGAGTAAGAAAATATCAAGCCACCCAGCGCTTTGAGAGACACGCCTCCCCACGAATACGCTGAAGTCAAACAGTTTTCATTCAAAAAGGCTCATCATAATACGACATATGTAGATCTGAAATTTAGATAACTAATGCATGGATTCGTATGATCGAGGTTAGTTTGTAAGCTGAGAATTATTTATTCCTGTCGTTTTCGTTTTTTGTCATTTCATAGTCTTAAAAAACGTAATTACATATCAAAATGAACAACAAAAACTCAGTTGGCAAATCTGCTATTCCTAGTCTTTTTTTACTACCGTGAAATGACAGGCAGAGGAAATGAGAATGAAAATCTTCTGAAACAATTCCAAAAGCACAGACAATATCTTCTAAAACAATAAAAATAAGAAGGCACTTTTAGAACATACGAAATCTACTATTGAGATTGTAATGTTAAAAGTGATGTAATTTAATGAGATGTAAAATTAAAAATAATATACTAGACTACTATACCATTGTGATCCATTCGTAACAGGTTGCAAGCTTCCAAGCGCATCTGTGCAGAACAGAGTCCCTTGCGGGCGCTGTGGTCAGTTTATGTTTCCATTTCCTCTCTCCGCGACGGAGTTACCCGGACACCTGCAACAAAAATTAGCAATAGAACATTAGGAACGAAGATATAATGTAATTTAAAACTACCTAAACGAAAACCTGTTTGCGGCAGCGTGTAGAAAACGTTAAGATGTAAACTAGAAAAGAGACTAAGTGAGTATAGTCGATTACCTCATAATAAATGTCGTAAATACAATTAAAGAAATCAATAAGAAAAAGATCATTGAGCTAGATAAGTCATAAGTCGTTACGTAAATTAGTGAATTGTGAAAACTCGGTACTTGGATGCATAATAATAATAATAATAATAATAATAATAATAATATAATAATAATAATAATAATAATAATAATAATAATAATAATAATAATAATAATAATAATAATAATAATAATAATAATAATAATAATAATAATATAATAATGATAATAAATAAAATGTGAATAAAAGAATAAGAGAGTTATCACTTTCCAGATTTGTCAATTTGGAATTTGGTAAATTTGCTTCTCCGTATTAAGTAAATATTGTTGTAGTATCTACAATTTACAATTTGAATTAATTGATCTGCTAAAGTGTTATAACTAAAATATCAATTCAACTGTGCAACAATAGCTATTAACTTACCTAGAAATGTTTTGAGTATTATTACGACAGAAGACAAAAGTTAAAAAATCGAGGCTACACTCCGCCTCGAATTTTGATTTGGGAGAGACAGTAATAACTGTAAAATTTCGTGGTGTATTCAGCATTTCATCGTTCGCCATAAAATCTCACGATTTATCCGAGAATTTACGACATTACTGCGGTAGTAAACCAATGAATTCTGTTGCTGCGGCACGTTACTACGATAGTATTGGATGTTGCTAGCGATATATATTTAAACAATACTGGTATCGTGGTTTGAGGAAAGATGGATGCAAGTAATTCTCCTAAACCTAAAGACACCTAAAGAAATGATGTTCGGTGAGGAAGTTGGCGCATCGAGGCGGCGGTCACAGTGCAGCCGATTTTGGCCGAAATTTCGGTCGTCCGACGTCGGGTGTTTTCGTCCGACATGCCCGATTCGTTCAAACCCGTGCTAGTAAACGGAAATGGTCATAGTGCATCCGAACGACCTCTACCGACGGCGTCCGAAAACATCGGCTGTCGGACGAGTATCTGTTCCGTTTGGATTTGTCGGTTCCAGTCGACCGAAAACAGCTGTGACGACATCTTCACATCGGCATTAATATGATTACCGGAAAAGAGTTCCATTAGTGGAATGCCAGGAAAATGAGGTTAATTTACCTAATGCAATTTTTAAATTGCACTATTAATATAACAATTAACAATAATTAACCCAAAAACGAATATGAGTTAATTTTATTCTAAATTGTTTGAATCTGATTTGTTTTGTACATCGCCAAGTTTTTTCTTAATGAACATTTGACTTGCGATAAATCGATGATTGTTTATTTAGTTTGCTAAGAATGTTAAAACTCGTTGCTAAGGACGTTAAATTCCTTAACATACAACTAGGTACAATGGCACTTAACAAACCTGTAAAGTTAATGCGGTTTAAAGGACGAATGTGGCCGAGAAATGTATTATATCTTAATAAAAATGCCTCTTGCATATGATTTCTAGGTTTGTTTAAATTAATCTCTTAACAATGTTTGGGCTCCCATTACATTTACAAATAACTGTTTTCTTCTTTGAGAAGAGTAAAATCAAAGCAAAGAAATGGTCTATTATTACAATTTGAAATGTTTTCTAACCCCCAATACTCATATTGCTCTTCCAAGTAAAGATGAAAACGTGACATTAAAAAGAGCCTATACACTCATTATATTTGACAATTTTTTTCTATATTCTATTTAGTAAATGTTTTAATAACAGGTTTTATGTTTTTACTATGAATATGCTCGTTATTCTTAGACAATTTTATTTTTTAATTAAACCAGTTATTCACCAAAATACCACTTGTTTCTCTAGTTGTTCACTTATCGATTTCAAATTTACTTGCTTACCCACCTGAAGCTCAGATTTCGAGAATCAGCGCTCGCTGTGTCAAAGTTAGAGAAACAACTTTCCGTGCAGGAAAAACGATTCCTACCCCTGGTCTACTGACAGCCGAGCTCCTTCGGCAAACTTGTTTAGGATAAAATTAAGAGTTCGATTCCCGGGATGAGCAAAACAAGTGTGTAGCCTCCGCAAAACTGTTGCAGTCTCTGAGGCAGTATGTCAGTTGTCGAGGGTGTGGTTGGTACTGCTTAGTCTCATTGGTCGGGTGGCGGAAAAAAGAGAGGATGGAAGGGTTAATGTACTTGGGAAGAGGCCAGCTTCAGGAGGGGTGAGAGAGAAGGAATTTGTTCATTCAAAATACTGTGTTGATGATTGCTTAATAAATTAATGAAGAGTACGGCTTCTAATTTAAGTCTCTGAGAGTATCTATTTTCAATTTCCAAACTTTTGACGTCACTGTCTGCATTAAATGAGTGTTCTTGTTCTAAGAGATTGATGGCAAAGTGTGATTGTGTTGTTTCGTGTGTAAGAGATGGTACGTGTTCTTTGATTCTTTGTTTACAGGATTTCTCCTGAGGAATGGGAATTCTCCTGAGAAATCCTGTAAACAAAGAATCAAAGAACATGTACCATCTCTTTAGCCAATATATCGCGCATTGCAATTGCCACTCCATTGAAATGGAGTATACCTCACACGATAGAGGTTTGAGGTTAGGATCTTTGTTGCGTGAAAGTTTGTTATGGAGATTGTTTGGTGCGCTGAATGTGACATGGATGTCAAATTGTCTGAGTATTGTGGCAATTTTTAATTACAGTGTTCCAAGGAATGGAATAGTATACCTGATGTGCGTGTGTATTGTGTAGGAGTGAAGTTTTAAAATAAGTATGAGGAGAGTTACGTTTTTTGTGTAAGAGATAGTTTTCTTTTTGATAATATTGTCAATTAAAGAACTATTGTAACCATTGTTGATAGCTATTAGTGTTATGTTATGGATTTCTTTTCTCATTTTGGAGGGGGAGAGAGGAATTGAGAATAATCTATGAACCATACAATCGAATGCTGCGTTATTCTGAGAGGGTAGATGTTGTAATGTGATATGAATAACTGTCGGTGTGTGTCGGTTAAGCGTCAGTTCAGCGTTAGTTCATCATTACATTCGAAGAGGTTTTCTTCGCTGATGATTTTCCGAAGCTCCTCTTCAGAGAGGACATTATAATGAGAATTGCACATATCCTGAAAGGCTTTTCTGCTCGCTAAAAACTGCTGGCTAAAACCCTTACCTCCAATGTGACGCAACTGAATTGAATTATTTTACGTTTGAGTTATTCTATTAATATGGATGACATTCCAACTTTGACATTTTTGCAGAATGTAATAGTTTGAGCTCCGATGTTCGCCGAGTTTGTTTCCCAGATGACGCTGATAATTTAAATTAAATGTTCTCGCTTGAAAAAGAATCGCTGTAGTACAACAAAAGACGCACTCGCGAATGTTTTAAATTCGCGAATAGCGAATTTGCGGATGTCGAGGAATTACTGTACAGGAACTTATTTATTTATACAGTTAAAAACTTGTGGTACGTGCTATGGGGAGAAGTTAATTTGAAGTTACATTTATGTCCAGAAGCAAAACAAGGGGCCATCTCAGCATTTGCTCGAGGATTAGGGAAACTGAACGAAAACCTAATCGAGATGGGGTTCTTTGACCCAGAAGCTGAAGTACAATACTTGTTACAGGGTTTTGGAAGTATACACTCCAAATTGTAAATAATACAGTAAATGTCGTAGTTAAAATTAATATTAGTTTCCTTTTGGATACTCGGTATAGTCTCTAATTGTATAGAAACAGTTGTGCAGGTGAAAGGTTTTTACATGGGACTTAAACTTTTGTCTCGAATTTAATCGTTTAATGTCATCGTGCAAAATGTAAAATAATGTACATGTATTGTATGCGAATTTTCCGTAGTAAGTTGTTGATGCTGTCACCTGATGAGTATTATTTCTACGTTGAGTGTTGTAGTTATAGACATCAGCGTTTGCTGAAAATATATTCCCGCCCTTAAGTAAGTCATTTTTGACAAAAACCACTGATTCATATATCAAGAGGCAAGGAGACAATATCTTTGATTTGCCTGAAACTGTACCTAACGAAATCTCTTAATGTCAGAAGGTGCCCGGAAAAACACCACTGCGTGGAGAGTTGCCTACCATTAAGGGGCAAAAACACACGCTTAATTTCTTTACATGAAATATACCACATGTTCATTATCAAAACGCGAACATCTTCGAGCCTCATGCATGCACTAGAAGTTTGTAAAATTTATTCTAAAACATTAGGTGCATTTTAGCGCCATGCATAAGTTATGTACTTACTTTAGTGCGTAGCGACGTTACGTACTAACAGTCGCGTGACGGAACAGTTCGAAATGCTGTATTATGTTGTAATGCATAACGCAATGTACTCAATTGCTAAAGCTCGCGTAAACGTTATTCCTTACGATCGTATAACGTTGTTAGTCTCGTGATCAATAGCGTTTAAGAATGTCTCCTTACACCTGGAGCTAAAACTCCCTCTTCTGACCAGCTTAAGTGGTTGTATAATATTGATGTCACTGGTTTGCCTCTGACCGGGCGGTTCTAGGCATTGAGTCCCGCCGGTGGAAGGATTTTCGACTCAAGCTTGCCAGCTAGGGCAAATTAAGTCGCTGTCTGGAGGAGAATTCTAGCGGCCGGCTGCTCTGATCGGTAGTTTTCCGTGGTTTCTCCGATCAACACCAGGCGAATGCAGAAGCAGTGTCCTAACAAACGAAACACACACCACACGCGACCTTTCTTTCCTCTTCCTTGTCTCATCCACACTCTTTACGTACACCGACACACTTACATGCACTACACTACCGCACACGCTGGGAGATCGGTCTGGAGCTTAAAACATGACCCGACTGGGGCGGTGCGCCGCTGGTGGGAGATACCTGGCTGGGGAAAATCCCGCAAGCCGACGTATAGGTCCGCGCCAGATCTCGCCATCCAACTGGAGAAAACCAGCACATCCAGAGGAGAAAACACGCACTACAATTACTGGATTAACGACCTTCGCAGTTGACAACGGCTGAATTTGCCAACGTTATGTAGCTAGTGTCGAAAGTCCTACTACCGCCGATTCTCGAACCCTAGAACCTCCCGGCCAGAGGCACAGCGATGACCCCAACATCTCTGATACTCTAAAGGCCCATTCACAATGCAAACGTTAACATAAGCATGGTGTTGACATAAAAGTTAGGGCTTCGTCCATATGCGGACTCATTCACAATGCGTTCGCATAAGCATAACTCGTAATACGTTAACTTGAAAGCTTGCATGCTTCTGTACTTATGCTTAAGTAAGACATAAGAAATTATCCGAACCAATCACAGACCGGTAACTCAAAATCGAGAACCGAAATTCGAGCGAAGTCGATAGAAGAATTAACGCTATATGGGATATAGACACAGTTGATAACTTGAAATCGATACTCACATCCAACCAGAAAGTCTCACAGCCAATAGGAACTAATTTTGCTTACGTTTATGTAAGGCATTGTGAATACTTTAGTCTATCGCTTATGTTAACGTTTGTGTCTATTTGCTATTCTTATGATTACGTTTGCATTGCGAATGGGCCTGAAGCCGGTGCCCCGTACCGAAGCGGCGTCGTCGCGTAGAGCACAGCGCAGGACGCGAGGGGGCGCCCGGCGCCGTTGCGCGCGTGGCACCACGCCCCCCTGGGGCATCCCGCTGCTGCGGCGCCCCGTCCCGCCCCGCCACGCCTCGCGCCACGCCTACACCCACTCGGCGCGCACCGCCACGCCTCGCGTTGCCCCGCACCCGCCCACTCGCATTGTTGGGTGGTGAAGTGTACTGCTATATCTCGGTGTTGAACGCTTCTTTCGCTAGAAGGGAGAGAATTTTCGGATGGGGAGATACGGCGCCGACCTGTACGTCGCCTTGCAGGATTTACCCCTCCCCCCGATCAAGTCGCTGTTACCCACGCACTTTTTTTTGTTGCTAGAAGCGACAGGACTTTCGGAATGCGAGATCCGGCGCCCACTTGTACGTCGTCTTGTGAGACCCCCCGATGAAGTATCATTTATTGCACAGCCCTAGTCGGGTCATGTTTTAAGCTCCCGCCTGGCCTCCCGGCGTGTGCGGTAGTGTAGTTCTTGTAAGTGTGCGTGTGGAAGTAAAGGGCGAATATGAGACAAGGAAGAGGAAGGAAATATCACGCGCGGTCCGTGCCCCGTTTGTTAAGAAATTGCTCCGGCATTCACCTGGTGTTAATAGGAGAGACCGAAGTCTACCGATCAGAGCAGCCCACCACTAGAATTCTGCTCCAGACAGCGGCTGAATTTAGTTACGTCCAATCTAGTTATGTAGCTAGTGTCGAATACCTTGCTTGTGTCGGGGCTCGAACCCTAGAACCTTTTGGTCAGAGGCATACTAGTGACGTCAATATTATAGATATTCTGAGCCGCCTAAGGGGCTTGGTTATTTCGACGACAGAACTATTACGTCAAATCTATAGCTCGCTTTTCCATGCAAAAATAGTTTTTATTATATGTGATCGAACATTTCTGGTTGTCATATTTGTCAATAGTGATCGCTGCTATCGCTTATTCATAATTCAACTGATGTTAGTAAAGGAGTGGGGGGGGGAGGTATTCCAGGGCTCAAGAAAACCTGTGCGTATAATACGTCAATGTAAACAACAGTTTATTGAGCATTCGCTTACATAACTCAGATCAACTTATAACATTACAACCCAGTTCAACAACCATATTGTAGAAAACACAGTGTTTGTAGCACAGTCTTTGTACCTAGGCCACGTTCTTAATTACAGTTCAGCTTACCCCTGTGCAATAAACTAAACAAAATCAGGCTCAATAACATAGGGTGTAGATACTTTGCTCTAGGCACAAGCTCTAAACACTTCCTCAATCAGGTTGCTATCTTCCTGAATTAATACATAATTATTGTTAATACATAATAATAGTATTAACTTTCTTTATTCAGCAAGTGTATAATATGTTTTTAAGCAGAATCAAAAAAAAATTTTTTTTTTGGTTTCAGACTATATGTAACACTTACCTTAGCTTTCCATGGGTTCACAAACCTAAGCTTTGCCCCAGGGTATGATTATCTGTGAGACAGCTTCTCTCGTTTTCACCAAGTTAGTGAATCCTACTTTCCAACTACCTTTAAGCAAGTAGTCCCATACTTTTGAGAATAAACAAGAAACTCTGGAATTAACACTTTCATTATTAATGATACTAATATATCTGTAATGTCAAATATATTTCTTTAAAAGGATTAGTTTATTACTAAAGACAAATCATAGAAAATTGAAATATCATTTAAAAATCACTGCACAGAAAGCTTACGCAAAAATTTCAAAACTTGCACAATAATCAGTGTGGATTTACCTTTTGGAGGCCCCATATACTTTTGATTTTAATAAAAGTTTAGAAAAAGATAATATAAATAAAATACTGTGTAATTGCCCTCAGTGGCTTGTTGGTTAGCATGCTCGCTTTCCATGCCGCAACCCTGGGTTCAATTACTGGTC